TGGCTGCCAATCATGAAATGAAGCCGAAGAAGGAAATTAGGCAACATAAAGGCACACAGTGGGAGATGAGAAACTGGCTCCTATTTTTAAAGAGAGAGCTGGGTGGTGGCACACACCTTTAATCCCAGCACGTCAGAGGTAGCGACAAGTAGATCTCTAAGTTTGAGGCTAACCTGGTCTACAGAGCAAGTTCCAGGATAGACAGGACTACACAGAGAATTCCTGTCTCAGAAAACAAATAAACAAAAACCCACAACAACACAAACACAAAACTCATAACCAACATCACCAAATTAAAAAAAAAATAAACAAGATTAAAGAGAGGGAGGGAGGGAGGGATGGAAGAAGAGAGGGAGGGAGGGAGAGAGACAGAGACAGAGAGAGAGAGAGAGTTAAAATTCAAAGAGGGAAGTGCTCCCCAAACTTTAAGAATACGTGTGTAGGGGCTGGAGAGATGGCTCAGTGGCTGAGTGTTGTTCTTACATGGGACAGTTTGGTTCCCAGCATCCATATCAGGCAGTTCACAACCACCTGAAACTCCAGCTCCAGGAATCCCACTTTCTTTTCTGGCCTCCATGGGCATCAGAACACACATAGCATGCATACAGTTCCATAAACATACATATACATAAATAAAAGTTTTTATTTAAAAAAAGAGTATATATATAATGCAAATAAAATTTGAGCTAAAATATTTAGTATTCATAAACAAGCTAAAATATTTAGTATTCATAAACAAATCACTAAGAAAAACTGAAAAGAATGAGCAAAGGCTATGAACAGGCAATTCAGACAGGAATGGAGGGAGGGGATCTGTGTGCAGACAGACAGGAGAGCAGACAGGAGAGCAGAGACTGGACCGACTAAAGCTGAGACACTCAGAGGACCCCTGTAGAGTTAAAACTCAAACTTTTGAGAACAAATGACCGGCTGGGGCTGGCATTTAGAGGTTATGTTTAATAAAATGGTTTCTTCAAATAGAAAATTTAAATTCAAATTTTTCTACTTTTTATTAAATTGTATTCAGTTGTCACAAAGGGAATGGAACTGCAGCTGCCACGGTTCAGTGTGGCTGGTTTCAGGGACTACACAGGAAGCATAAGGAGGCACTGTGAGGGCTGCAGGCAGGAAGCGTCCCTGGTCCTCTAGAGAATGCATCTTAGAGCGCTCCCCTGGTGGCAGAGTAGCAAAACCACAGGTAAAGAAGAAATTTGCCGGGGTTTGCAGCCAAGAGGTAAACTCTAACTGGTACAACTGATGATAGTATTAGTAACCAGCATTTATATTTAAGCTTTCACACCCTCCTAATCTTTTTCTACTTATAACAATGTAACCATTTCTCACAGGAAAAAAAAGTTCCTACCATCTCCTCATAGAGACACAATGAACCAGGCAAGGTGGCACACACAGTAATCCCAGCACTCAGATGGTGGAAACAGAATACCAAGATTCAAGGTCTTCTTGGGCTACAAAGTGTCGCTCTGTTTTGAAAATGAAAGAGAGGGTATGTCAATATAGCCATTGTGTCATCTCAGAGACTGATGTGCTCCATTCCTGGGCTATGATACGCTAACCATTTGTTCACAATCCCACCTGAATGAAATGATAACATTAAACTTCAGCAAAATCTGTATTTAATAAGAAAGAGGATTCCAGGCAGAGTGGAGTAACAGGTTCCCTCTGGCCTGGAGCAGCTGAAGAAATGGACCTTAAACATGATCATCGCATGTCTAAGGAAACTGCTCGAGGGCAGGAAACTCCACAGCTCACCTGCACTGAGAACAGGGATTGTTCCCTCAATCCAGGGAAGAAAATCTCCTAAATTGGGGATATCCAGAGACACAGAAAGTTTTTGCCTCAGAGAACATTAACCATCCACTAAATCAAGAACTCACAAAACAGCTTAAAAGTAGATACAAACAACAGCTTGCTGATAACTTTCAAATGACTAGAACAAAGTTCAAGAATTGTAAGAATAGGAAAACTATAGAAATTCAATATAATTAAAATTTACTATGCCTGACTACAAATAAAAATAACCAGACATAAAAAGTAACAACCACAAACTATAACTCAAAATGAGGAGAAAAATCTATCAATAGACACTGTCCCAGAGATTATACAGATGACAGAACTAACTGAGGAAACATAAAATGGTTACTAAAACAGAACTGTATACACCTGAGCATTACAGGGCAGGCCAAACGTGCCAAGAACATAAAAAAAGGAATGTGTAGAGAAATTTATTTATGTGCGGAAGATAATTTAAAAGACCCACAGAGATAAAAACTGTAAATGAAATTTTAAAAAATATTTAAATACCACACTGGATGGCATTTACTATAGATCGGATGTTGCCGAAAAAAGACTAGGATAAACAGGAAAACAAATGTGATACAAAGTATCCAGTGAAATGTGGAGAGAAAAAATAGAGCATTGATGAGGTATGGGTCAGCTTCACATGGATTTATGTCCACAGAGAGGCTGGAAAGAACATTTGAAGGAATAATGCCCCCCCCCCCCAATTTCTAAATATTCTGAAGACCATGAAGCCAAAGTTTCAAAGGGTACAAGCAACCCCAAATACAAGACGTGGGAAATAAAGTACACCACGGTATATCATAAAGTGCTCCACCACCAATACAGAGCACACCACACCTGACAGGGGCAATGGGAAGCCTTTGCATAAGGAACAGATAAGGCTAAAGTGGCGTAGCTGCAGTTGGCATTGTTGGAAGCAATGCAAATCAGAAGAGAGTGAAGCAATGTCCTGAATGTTCTCAAAGAAGAAAAAAAAAAGAATTACTAACCTGCAAAAATGTGTTTCCCAGGGGCTGGAGGGATGGCTCAGAGGTTAAGAGCACTGACTGCTCTTCCAGAGGTCCTGAGTTCAATTCCCAGCAACCACATGGTGGTTCATAACCATCTATGATGAGATCTGGTGCCCTCTTTTGGCATGCAAGCATACATGGAAGGAATGTTGTGTACATAATAAATAAATAAATAAATCTTTTAAAAAAATGTGTTTCCCATGTTCTACTCCCAGCATCAGTGAGAGAAAAGGCCCTGAGCTGTCTGGCAGCCTGGTCAATGTTCTGCTAAAGACAAAGAAACAAAGTCGCTGCTGAGAACCCAGAGGACCACTGACCACCTGAAAGAGACTGTCATGCTCCGAAACAACATGAAAAACCCCTAGACTGGCTCACTGAGTATCAGTTCCCAGCCTTTTCCCTTTTTTCTACCACTGCTCAGGCTAGAAAGATAATTGTCGTCCCAGGGTCCCTTGCAGCTAAAGAAAACAGGTATGACTCAGCTGGGGTCCCCGGTAAAGGTTTCTCTTCCCAGCTAACAGGGCACAACACTGGTAGGAAGAACAACTATCCTTCTGCTGTGCTTTCCATCAGAGAGGAACACAGGCAGGAGTGCAGGTGTGTGGAGGTTTGAATGAAAATGGCCCTCATAGGCTCACAGGGAGAGGCACAATTAGGAGGTGTGGCCTTGCTGGAGTAGGTGTGGCATTGTTGGAAGAAGTGTGTCATTGGGGATGGGCTTTGAGGTCACAGAAGCTCAAAACAGGTCTACTGGCTCACAGTCTCTTCCTGCTGCCTGCAGACCCCATGTAAGAGTTGCTGTGGTCATGGTGTCTCTTCACAGCAATGAAACCCTAACCAAGACAAGGTAACAAGCAAGCATGCAGAGCTAATGTACTGTACACAGGTGGTAAAACAGACAACAGACTGATCTCAGGCTGCTCCTGGATGACACTGGGTGACTTACTATGGGAGAGACAAACAGCTCCTATTTTTGAAACTTTGGGACAAGTTTTCTGTTTTTCAAAGCCATGCAGTTCTAACCATTGATTACTGGGGGTGGAAAGGGGAACCAGAGGTAAAGGCAGGGGAACCAGAGGTAAAGGCTATTTAACACAGTAGAAGCTGGGTCAAACATTCAGGGCTCAGATACCTGTACTTGTCACTCTAGGCTGGGAGCAATAGAGAGAATGGGGGAACAGGAATTCTGGAAAGTCTAGGTGAAGATGTGAGAAAACACCTTGTTAACTAGATCCCTGGTTCTTCCCAGGGCCTGAGTAGTTCAGGAAAAGAGGAAGCTGTTAACGCCAACCTTTTAAAATTTTAATTAAATATATTGTGTATGTGTGAGAAGGGTGAGGGGAGACATATGTGTGGAGGTCACAGGACAACTTTCAGGGGTTTGTTCTCTCCTACTACCATGTGAGTTTCTGGAATCAAACTCAGGTATCAGGATTGGTGGCAGGCACCTTTATGCTCCAAGCCATCTTACTGGGCTTGCCCTTCCTTTTTCTTCTTTCTTTTATTTTTTGAGCTAGGATCTTGCTTCATAACTTTGACTAGTCTGATAATTATTATATAGCCCTGGATGGCCTAAAGCTCATGGTAATCCTGCTGCATCAGCCTCTCCTTGTCCTGGGATTATGGGTGTGCACCACAACAGCCAGCCATTTCTTTTCAATACAACAGACAGTAGATATTGTAAACCACCCTGACGTAATATATAAAAAGGAAGATTATGAGAATAAGAAGTGACTTCTTTCCAAGAATTTGCATTTATTTAGTTTTTCAAACTAACCTGACCTGTACAACTGAAGGCAAGTTGTACACAACTACTACCTAGCATAATAAACTCAAGTTTTAGATTGTGCCATTAGAGGCTTTCTTGACTGCAAATGGAGACTGCCGCTCTTCGTTCATTATTGTCACACTTATTTTCTTTAACGCTGCATGACATGTGCCAGGTTCAGCAGCACTATTTCCTACAGAGAACAATGTGAAGACGACACCCAGCATGGCTAACGCTAACATGCATTTACAAAGTACAACAGGTACATTAACAATTACCTTCAACACACAGTGCCATTTTGAAGTTGTGGAATGTATAATATAGTATTATGGCAAATATGGATTTATCATATCTATTACTTCTTTGGCACCTTCTTGCTCTAAGCATCTCTCTTTCCATTCCAGCTTTGAAACATGAATAAGTGGAATGTGGAGGAAGAAACCTAGATAAAAATTTCTTTTAAGAGACGGACAACAGAGAATCTACCAGGATCTTGTGCCTTTCCTGGAGCATCAGTGATCTAGATAGAAGTCAGGTGTCTGGCTTTTCCAGGTCACATTCAGCCAGTCTTCCAGATACTACTAAAAGAGGAAACAGAAGCAAGAATCTTTGTTAATGGAGAAAAGTTGGAAGGACAAACACATTTCTGACATTATTTCCAGGCTAGAAAGGAAAGACGATACAGTATTAAATGTTTCTTTATAAACCTTTGATTTAGTTTGTTACATTAGACACATACCAGTTTTGTAATAAGGAGCACTGCTAAAGAGAAGCAACTCTCTGTTCATTTGTATTTAGGGCACAGTTGGGCATGTTAAAAAGAATTAGTAAGCTGGAAGAGACTGACATTCCAAAGGCTCTTTGTTAATAGCAGTTTTATGAGGTAGAGAGGTATCAGGGTAGCCTCGGGGTAGTGGTGGTTACAGCATCTATAACAGTTAAAACATTTTTTCTAACATAAGCCCCCATTCTAGGGGATAACCCAATGCACCCCTAGGATTAAAAAAGTAACTGGAAGTAGCAAGTACTTTTAACTCACAAGGAGTCCTGCTTAATCAGGGTTGTTTGCAGTTTTTTGTTCTAGGGGTAAATAGCACATACATTAGAGAAGAGATGTAGAGGTTCCCTACAGAGCAACACATCCTCTTCCTCTGAGGGCTCTTGTTCTGCTCCTCACCAGAAGGTACTATTGCCACACTTCCATTACTTCTTTTCAGGCTTCCCACAATCCTGCTATACAGAAGTGAGGAGTTTGCTCAGTGGACCAAGCTCTAGCAAAGTTACTAGAACCTTCAATGTTTCTCAGCTTCACCACTACTGATTTTCTCAGCACAGTGATTCTTTGTACTTTGTGGTACAGTGTAGGGTGTTGGCAGCATCCCGGGCTTCTAGGCACTTTCGCTAGCAGTAGCACCTTCCATGCTGCCTCCAAGCACACATGCTTCTGTCAACTACCCCAGGAGACAAACTCACTCCCAACTAGGGTACCGCCACACCAGCGATGAAAAGACGGTTTTAAAATGTAAACTGAATCACGCACTTTACTCCTTTACATCATTTTTTTTATGATCTCAGAATAAAATTCAAACTTTTTACTGTGATTTCCAAGACTCTGTATGAACTGGCATCTTCCCCCCTTTTTTTTTCTTTTAATACTACACTCTCATATACTAACTGGTCTTTCTGTTCTATAAACATCTTCCGTTTGCTCCACCGGCCTTTTAGGCTGGCTTTTACTTCTGTCTAAAATGCAGTCTCTAGATCCGGGTATGGCTCACTGCTCACCCACACAATCTCAGATCAAATGTCACACAATTAGCAAGGCTTTCCCTCACCATATTATCTAAAGGACCTCCCTGTTCTCTACCACAACACACCTTTCCTTCCTGGGAGCACAAGAGAACACTGTCTTACCTTCTCTCTTGTTTCTGTGTCTTCCCAAGAGGAAGGTCTTAGTCTTTTCCACTGTTAAGGCTGATACGCTTTGACTAGTACACAGTAGATACTCAGTAACAATCTTCTGCCAACCTCACCCCTCAGATCAGGTGTCAACAGCGTCCTCTTCACTTTCCCTTCCAAGATTATTTTTTTTTTGTTTATTAATTAGTTTGCTTGGTTTTTTCTAACACCCCTGACCTGTTTTTTTTTTAAGTGTAGGTGTAGTACCGTGTATAAAAACTTTACAAAAGCTTATTATGAAATACAAATAAAGGCCAATTAGTAATTCATGAAAGACAATTCTTTGCCCTGTAGGTTTCATGCACTATGTAATCAAGCCAGTGGTCATGAATTCATGGCAAGTTTGGTCCCTCTTCGCAAATTTCAAGTGATCAAGGCATTCTAGAGGGACCTAAGACTACAAAACTTACCTGGTGCAGAGACTCAAAGAGCCTCTACGTCCATCGGCTGGGTATATACAGTACCGCAAGTCTTAAACCTTTCTGTGCTGGCTTCAAGTTAATAGTACTCTGGGTCAATAGGAGGGTGGGCTAAGGTGCTGCAATGTCAATACATGTTGGCAGCGCCCCGAAACCACAGCCTGTTTCTTACATTGATTTATGGGCTGATTCCATGAAACCAAAGATGCTTGGCTCTCTTGGAAGCCGGCTGGCAGGCAACTGGAAGCACTTCTGTCCTGGCTAAGGGCCAGGGTCCTTGGGCAACGCTTCATCGGGCCGTTTTGGCACTCTGGCGAGCAGCTTTCTTGTCCCGCCTGGCTGGGCTCTCTACACGGTGCAAAGTCGTCTCCACCCGCAGGGACGACGACGCCCTGACGTGGCTGGAGGACGTTTCCGTGCACTGCGAGGAGGTTTCCACGTGCTGGGAGGACACCTCGAGGAATCCGGGGAGTCGCTTCGTGGAGGGGGTGAGGGAGGGCCCCTCTCGGTGGCGCAGAGACGTCTCCACCTGCCGGGAAGACGTTCGAACCTGCCGGGAGGACGTCTCCACGCGGTGGGATGATGTTTCCTCGCGGTGGGACGAGGTCTCCACGAGGACAGTCTCCTTGTGGCGGGTGCTTTCCACTCGTGGGACGGAGGACTTGCCCCTAAGGGGCGAGGCCATCCTGCCGGTACACCCAGGTCAGGAGGGACAAAGAGGCCTAAGGCTCAGGCTCTGCATCACGTCACACAGGAAAAAGTGACGTCAGGGTGCTGTGCTACGTCAGCGTAGGCCGCGAGGTCTTCCACCACGCCCCGCTCGATAACTGCGCGCGCAGCCGGCTCTGGTGCCACAGATAGGCGGAGCCTCCCATCTCAGAATGAGGCTGTCTCCGCCTTCGTGTTCCATCCTGCTCCGCGACCGGAAATAAGAGTTGTGGCTTCCGGCTCCTCCCTCACCATTCGAGGCTGCGGATCTGTCGGACTGGTTGTTCTTTCCCTTCTCTGCCGGTTATGGCCGCGGCCGTCGCTATGGAGACAGGTGCGTTGTGCCCTGCGCCCCGAGTCTTCACCGAAGGAACTGTTCTCCGCCCCGACTTCCTCTCCCGTTTCCCCGCGCGGTCTTTCAGGCTTAACTCGGCATCCTTAGAGTTGGGACTGATTGGGGAAAGGCGGTGTTGTCTTTCAGATTGTGGCGTGTGTCAACATCTTTGCTCCCGGACTACTCAAACCCCCCACTCCCTGGTTCCCGGGCCGGGGTGGGGCTGAGGGAGAGGACTGAGCCCTTCAGCTGTCTGCTCTTTGGAGCTTTTCCCGTGAATGTGCTTTAAATGTCGGTAACTTGGGTATCGTTCTAATACGGATTACCGTCCTCGCTCCGCTGTTTAATCATTTTGCATCTTGCTTCCTGTATGGCACTTTGTTTTTGCTTAACGTACTCACTGTTAGTAGTAGTGGTTATAACGCATTAATATATGGGGCGGCACAGCTATTAGAGACTATCCAGTGACCTCTCTTAACGACCTTCCATAGTGACCTACAGGTGGTAAATATCCATTCCATTTATTTTCCTCAACTGATTTTAGAGAATTTTTTATTGTGTTTGTTTTGTTCTGGAGACAGGGTCTCACTATCTACTGCTGTCAGGCCTAGAACTAGCAACGTGCACCAGGCTGGCCTCGAATTCAGAGATCTGTCTCCCGAATGGTGGGATTAAAGGCGTGCACCACCACGCCCAGTTTGTTTTGGTTTATTTTAAATTAGGCGGCACTCTTAGATTTCTAAGGCAGTTTCTCCTGAACTTTGATATGTTTTTCATAAAGTGATATGACACGTTGTGCATGTCAGAGGACAACTTGTGGGAGTCCTCCTGCAGCCCTGTGGGTTCCAGGGATCGAACTCAGGTCATCAGACTTTGCAGGCACCTTTACCTGCTGAGCCATCTCACGTTTATTTTTGTTTCTACAAATCAACATTCGTATCCTGACTTTATTTTGGGTGTTTTTTTTTCTGTCTTATCTCCTAGATGATGCTGGAAATCGACTTCGGTTTCAGTTGGAGTTGGAATTTGTGCAATGTTTAGCCAACCCAAATTACCTTAATTGTAAGTTGAGTACATCATTAAGTTGAGTAGCTAGCTGTTGATGATTTCTAACAGAAGAGATGTAATTCATAAGAATATTTATTTTGATACGTATGAATGGGATTTTTACCTGCACTGGTCTGTAGGTATTAGCAAACAAGAACATGTGTTTTTTAATTCCTTGTGATTTGATGGTAGGGATGTTAAAAGAGCTACTTTATTAAAGATTACAAGTCAGTGGTCCAGCAACTGGTTGACATGCAGATTGTTTCTTTATTTATGCCTTTCAGTTCTTGCCCAAAGAGGTTACTTCAAAGACAAAGCTTTTGTTAATTACCTTAAGTACTTGCTTTACTGGAAAGAACCAGAATATGCCAAGTATCTAAAGTAAGTTTAATTTTTATAATCTTAAATCTTTGTATACTTTATTACAAATACAAAATACTGATACTTAGCAGTTTTCTCAGTGTTAGAACGGAAAACTATGTTTTGAATCATTCTGTTTTTAGTTATGTAAGACATTGTCATCTCTAACTTGGATTATTAGAGGATTCTCACTTGTTTCTGCTACCATTCTTACCTCACTCCCTTCAAACCAAACGAAGCCAGATAACTGTCTGTGGAAGCCAACTCACTCTCTTAGCTATATAAATCAGAATATGCCACTTGTATTCATGTAGGATAAAATCCAGTTAACTGATTTTAGACTGAGGCTCTAATGTGATTTGGTCTTGTCTAACCTTGTCATTTAACATCCCCTTGTCTCTGTGGTTTCTAATGCTTACCAACCCATAAACTACTAAAATGCAGTGGCACAGCCAGAAGCTGAAATGAACACATAGAAAGTAGTGTTTTCTGGGAGTCTCAGACTGCCTTTCTTTATAGTGTCCTGTGTGTCAAGCAATGTGCTAAATATATCTATCGTGTCTATTAACTCGCTGTAAAAAAACAAACACGGATGCTATCAAGCTGTTCATAGACAGTTTCATTATAGGACTTACTAAACTGTAAGAAACATTACAATCACACAACTGCCCCTTTTAATGGTAAAACAAAACCTTGGACTACATCTCTGCTTTGTCTTAAAAAAAAGAAAAGAAAAAGAAAAACAAGCTGGTATACACCTTTAATCCCAACATTTGGGAGGCAGAGGTGGGTGAATTTCTGAGTGCAAGTTCATACTGGTCTACAAAGCTACTTCCAGGACAGCCAAGGCTACACAGACAGGTAAATCTTGTCTTGAACTCCCCCCTCCTCCAAAGTGGTGAACAACAAAAAATCTTGTTTAGCCTGATGTCCCTTTAATCTAGCTCTCAGGAAGCAGAGGCAGGCTGATCTCTGTGGGTTCGAGACCAACCTGATTATGTAACAAATTTCAGACCAGTCAGGGCCACATAGACAGACCCTATCTTAAAGTTAGAGGAAAACATTTCAGACCTTTTCTCTATTTTCTAGTCACTTTTCTGAATTGATTCTGGGCTGCCAGAGAACTGACTGCACTTCAGTGTGCCCTTCGTGATGGCAGTTGTTGGTTCCTGCAGGAATCCAAAGGGAAGACTTTATGTTATTATTAGCAGATGATAACGCTAGCGCTCGCAGATTACAGACTGGGCATTCAAAGTCTTAGTCACCTTTAAGTTCAGTCTCCCCAACAGAGTTGTTGGCTGGTGAGTAGCCATACTCCAGTGAGCATATGTCACTCTGTTGGAGGCAGCTCACTCGGTTGACGGCCAGAGCTTCCTTATATTGTGATCAGATAGACTTCCTTGTAGCTCTAACCTATTTGTTGTTTTTGTTTGTTTGTTTTTCTGTTCATCTATGTCCTCTTGGAGACAAAAGCTATAGATGTTTAAACCTCAAGAGAGGTTGTAAATTAACTCCTGTTGGGCAATTTCGTTATATCTACACATGGTTCTAGATTTTTAAAATGGTTGTCAAAATTTAAAGATGGGAAGGTTTTATGTAACAGAATTCCAACTCTTGGAACTTGGGAAGAGCTGAGGCCTTCTTTTTCCCAGGTCAGCAGCTATCTCTTCCATACTTCCAGCACGTGGCCTATTTACTGATAGCTAGTGCCTGCAGTTGCACTGTTTTTCTTAAACATAGGTTCTTAGCGGCCTTCAGTCAGTTTTTTAGTGCCATGTTTGCCAGAGTTCTCAGGTATCTTTGATTATCTGGCAGTTCAACAAAAAACAAAAACTAAACATAGGCCAGCCAAAGTGATACATGACTTTAATCCCTGCACTTGGAAGGAGCAGAGGGAAATCTCTGTATTTGAGGCAAACCTGGGCTATATTGTGAGACCCTGGCTCAAATTAAAATAATCTGGGAGAGGGAGGGTGGCTAGAGAGAAGGCTTAAGTGTTTAAGAGTGCTTGCTGCTCATGTAGAGGACCCAGGTTTGGTTCTCAGCACGAAATGGTCACATCCATCAAAAACTCAAGTTCCATAAGTTCTGATGCCTTTTTGCTCTGAAAGCACTGTACATACATGATACATAGACACAAGCACCAAAACACCCATGCACATAAAATAAAAATAATAAAAATTTAAAAACAAACTAAACATAGGCCTTCAAATGTGATCCACAGACCACATGACATTTCTCTTTCTTGCGATAATTCAACATAGATGACTATACTTTTTTTGAGTGAAAGAGGTTTGGGAGTCAAATTGTTGACTTCCTGAAAGCTTTTACCAATTAATATCCACCAGTTATTTCCATGAATTGAATGCTGTTATTATCATTGTTGTTATTAGTTTTTCAAAACAGGTTTTTGAAGCTTTCCTGGACCTCACTCTGTAGACCAGGCTGGCCTTGAACTCACAAGAGATTTGCCTGCTGAGTGCTGGAATTAAAGTTGTGTGCTGCTACCACCACCCACCTGAATGCTGTTATTTGACATCTGTTTATGTCTTGCTTATTTTTAAAAAATCAAAATGTGGTTCTTTCCATTTGTACTCTTCTATTTCATCCTGTAGACTTGGAGTTAGTGTGTTGTAATCCGTCAGAATATACATAGTTCTTAGTCTAATGTATTTAAGAACACTGTTTTCTACAAAATAGATGAGGAAGCTGGGTGGTGGTGGCATACGCCTTTAGTCCCAGCACTGGGGAGGCTGAGGCAGGCAGACCTCTGTGAGTTCAAGGCCAGCCTGGTCTACAAGAGCTAGTTTGAGGACAGGCTTCAAAGCTACAAAGCTACAGAGAAACCCTGTCTCAAAAAACAAAATAAATGAGAAAATGATCACTGCCTAAATTCCAGTTACTTAGTGTTACTTAAGGCCATTCTCTTGCTAGTCACATTATTTTACATACAAAGAAACTGAACTTAAGTTTAAATGCTGTCTTTAAAGCCACCGATCTGATACTCAGAACGATTGAATCTTTTAAATTATGATGTGCCATGAAAGAGAATTAGCTAGTATAGTGGGAATAGAGCATTCTGGGCTATTACAATTACAAACTCTTTATTTGGGGTATAAATAATAGCCTTTGCTGGAAAGGAAGCATAGTAGTGGTTCTGCAGTGGAGCCATAACCATCCCTATCCTCCACCCCATACCCCCTTCTCATTTTCTTCTTATCACCCCCTCATCCTCCCTCCTCCTTTTAAAAGCTCCAGGACCAAATTAATTAGCATTTACAAGAAAAATACCCCAGACAAGCAAGCTGTAAAATCTCAACAGCTGCTCAAAGGAGAGCGAATGGAAAGGAGAAGGAAAAAAAAGCCTTGCCCCTTGAGTTAACCTGACGTGGATGGTAGTGTCACTGGTGGGAAGGGAGGCAGAGAAAAGGTATGGACACCCAAAATGTTAGGGAAGTCATGCTTGGCAGAGAGTTAGGAGGAAGAATAGAGAAAGTTACACTTTGTCTTGACTATTCTGAGTAATTCCAAAAGGCAGGCAAAAGCAGCACTGGAGTAAGTGCCAGATCTTTACTTTGATAGAATATTAATTAACATTCGTCTATTATGTAGACTATAGACTCCATTATTATGTAGTCTGTAGACCCCATTAGATTCTATTTTCCTGCTGGTGTCCTGTTTGTAGAGTGGCTTCCAGTCTAGCCTTATATGCTACATTTTATTATCTTGTTTTCTCTGTTCTCTCCTTTTCTCCCCTCCTTTTCTCACTCAAACTGTTTCTTTCTCACTCTGACCAAACACTGACTTGCTACTTTGTTACTTTGTTCTTCTTGGTTTGTCATAATCCAGAGTCAAGTGAAGTCTTGTTTGTCCCATTAGTGATGATTTTTATTTTGGAGGAGAGATCTTGCAGCACAACCCTACATGGCCCTCAAATTGTGTCTACTTTTCTTAAGTTTCCGAGTACTGGGAGTACAGGTCTGTGCCCAGTGATGTATATGATTCTTGTGGAGTTAGTTGACTCACATAAATAAGGTTACCCTTTTATGATTCCTAATGGAAAACCAATAACTATTAAACATGTAACTATTTTCAAGTCTTAAGAGCCAGTGAGATAGCTCAGTATGTAAAGGTGCTTGCTTGCAAGCCTGATGAATTGAGTTTGATCCCTAGGACTCCCATGCTGACCTCCACAAGTGTCCCATGGCACGTGATCACTCTCCCTCCCACACAAAAATAAATGCAATAAAATTTATAAATTAAAAGTGTTCATGTTCCTCACTTAAACTAGAAGAAGAGTATGGTTTATCTACCAATTTTGGTCCTGCTTACCAGTTTACTGGGTTGTGTGGTCTTGGGCAAGTTACTGAAGGCTTTTGAACTTTAATTTTTCATGTTCTGAAATAACATGGTGGGAGTGACATTGCCAGAGGTACTACATTAATAGAAATGGTAGGCTTGAGATCATTTTTAGGCGAGTATCTGAATTGGAACTTGGGATGCCTTAAATTATGTTGATAATTAACTTATGAACTTAAACCCAGGTACCCACAGTGTTTACACATGCTAGAACTGCTCCAGTATGAACACTTTCGAAAAGAACTGGTGAACGCTCAGTGTGCGAAATTCATTGATGAACAGCAGATTCTACACTGGCAGCACTATTCCCGGAAGCGGATGCGTCTTCAGCAAGCACTGGCAGAGCAGCAACAGCAGAATAACACAGCAGGAAAATGAAGAGCTGGGACAGACCAGGCTCTTAGGACATGTATATAATGTATTGCTATGTACAGTACCGATAAAAGAAGGTTCTTCCTGCCTACCTTCATTATGGTAGCACTCAGAACCGTATTATTTTTGGCCAGCAAACTTTATATTGTTAATAGATTATTTCTGTTAAACCAGAATTGTTCTACTTTGATTTCTCTGGGGATATGTAAATTTCAGTTGCATTTAACAGAACCAAGCGAATAAGAATGCAAATGTTGGGTGTTATAGAGAGGTTTAAGAACATGGGTGTTGACATACAGGGGTACTGAGATCAGCTGCTCCACCCCTCATTTCAGGAACTACATGAAGATTCCTTTCTACAGGAGAGGACATACTCAGTTGCTCCCCGCTTTTTAAGATAGCTGACCTCTAGAGGCAGGGAAGGACTGGTAGTTAATGACTAATTGGATTCTTGTTCTTAAAGGTATGAGCCGCAAATACCTTTCTTTGAAAAAGTTAGCACTTATTCGATAAGTACCATAAGTAGGCACTGCCTTAAAAAGCTTTTAATCTGTTTCAAAATATTTTTATTTTATGTGTCTGTGTGAATTGTTTTCATGTATGTGCACCATGATGTGCCTAGTGCCCAAGGAGGCCAGTAGAAGAGAACATCAGATCCCCTGGAATGAAGCTGAAGGTGGTTGTGAGTCACCATGTGTTGCTAGGAACTGAACTTGAATCCTCTGCAAGAGCAGCAAGTACTGAGCCATCTCTCTAGCCCTTATTTTTTCTCTGAGTCAGGGTCTCACTTTGTAGCCCAGGTTGCCTTGGGATCTGTGATCTTCTACCTCAATCTCCAGAGTACTGGACTTAAAGATAGCTACTAGGCCTGGCTCACATACTGCTTTTTTAAAAAAAATTATTTTATGTGTGTGAACTGTTTGACCTACACAATGTATGTCTATACCACTTGCATGCCTGGTTCTCTCAAAAGCCAGAAGAGTCCAGATCCCCTGGACTTGGAAGTTGTAGACAGTTTTGAGCTGCCATGTGGGTTCTGGGAATCCCCACAGTGAGTGCTCTTAATCAAGGAAAGACCTCTGCAGTCCACATTCTTTTATTTGTAGAACAATAGTTGCGCTTTTCATTTGCAACAAAGCCTGGTTCTGTATGTAGCCCACCCCTTGCTTCAAATTTGTGATTGATTGCTTTAGTCTCTAAAGTAATAAGATAACAGGTGTGTATCACTATGCCTGACAAAATTCTTTTTTTGAAGAAATTGAGATTTAGACAGTAACTTGCCTATGGCTAAGAGAACCAGCCTGTCTCACTCCAAGAGAATCACATTTTAGACAGTTGTGAAACAAAACTGCCTGAATTAAGCATATACATTCATTCCATGTGTTTTCTCTAAATGGTTTAGTGAAGATCTGCATTTCAAAGGCACAAAATGATTTTGCAAATACACAGAATTTAAAGTAACAAATCCTAACAGCTGCAGATTTGGGAGTTAGTTACTTTTTATCTTCAATATTTCCTCTGAGCTACTATTGACATACTGAAGACCTATTTAACTCAAATCTTTTAGATAGCCATGTGTTACAAAGCTAACTGGAGGTTCGCGTTTTAATTCTTTATTGTTTAAACATACACTGATCAATTCAATCAATTCTTTTAAGCAAACCAGGAAATCAAGACACAATTGTCATCATCAGTTTTTTTCTTTTCCTTTTTCCTTTTTTTTTTTTGAGGCAGGGTCTCTCTTTGTAGCTCTGGCTGTCCTGGAACTAGCTCTGTAGACCAGGCTGGTCTTGAACTCACCAATCTACCTGTCTCTGCTTCCCAAATGCTGGGATCAAAAGTGTGCTCTACCACCACCCAGTGCTATCATCAAATCTTAATCTTCAGAGAATATCATTTCCAGGAGGTTGGCCTGAAGGCACTCAGATTCCACAAGTTTTTGAGGCTGTAAAAAAAAAGAATGGTTGAGTTTTAACCACTGCTATGAAATGTTACTAGGGGTGGAGTGAATTCTACTTTGAAGAACATTTTTGAATATAGAAATATTGTCATCAGAAACTATCAGCTAGCCAAGCCTGTTGGTGCACACCTTTAGTCCCAGTACTCAGGAGGCAGAGACAGGCAGATCTCTTGTGAGTTTGAGAACAGCGTGGTCTACAGACTGAGTTACAGAACAGCTGGGGCTACACAAAGAAACCCTGTCTCAAAAAACAAACAACAAAACTAATGAAACTATCAGCTAGTTATAACAAGCTTTATGAAGTAGTTAAGATACTTGTCTTAAGATGAATCATTAAAACACTTGGCCTGAAGGGCCTTAAAATTCCATACCAGGAAGCCCCATAGACTGAAAACAAGAGACGGCAAGCCCAGTGCCATCTCCTTCCCTTTCTCTTTAATTTAGTATCCAGGGCTGAAATAAAGGGGAAGCTCTCTTAAACCTCAAAAACAGAGTTAGAAAACATTGGCATGGGTGCTTTCAGGAATGAGTCAGCTCTCTGCTGAACAAAGAATCTTAAAAGTGGCTGGAAAATCCCTAACCACTATCTTTTGCATTCTTAATAGTTCACTGGGACTGGCAGGGGAATGGGCACCAACTTGTGCTTCTGATGCGCTCTGAACAATAATGTGATGATACTGGAAGCTAAATACTTCAAACATGAATCTAAAACAACTTGAGCTTTAGCTACATCATAGCCACAACATAAAGGTTGACAGATACTCACCGTTCCATATTTAAGTAGTGTAGGCACTGCGGTTAATTTCAGTTTTTGTCTGAAGTCATTATTTGGGTCTTTCCAGCTATTCCAAAAGAAAGGGATCATGAAAATTACTACTTGGTTTATTACACTTTACTCAGCCGTGGATCTATATGTAGTATATTAGTAAGCATTGCTTTTGGTAATGTTTAAGCATTTTGAGGACTGTAACTAAGTATCATCCTCTACAAAGTTTACATTTAATGTGTGGGTAAGATAAAATACAAATGTAAAGTCAATAGTGTTCTGAACTTATTCCAGACCAAATTCATTAATACTATATGGGCTGAACATAAGCATTAAATTTGAATTCAGTAATTCTAATTGTTTGGCTTATCCGGCATTACCTAAAACACAGAGCCTGAGCAAGTATCTGAAGTCCTTTCCACCCAAGTTTTTAAGAACTAATCCATGTCTGGAGATGTGGTATACATGATTACTTACTAAGATCTGTCTCCTACTTGGCAGTAGATGAACACGCAGTCTTCCGTAACATGCTTCAGCCCCTCTCGAACGACTGGCTCAGCTTTTTAAAGAAGTTAAAGTAATTACACATCAACTGCGATAGCTCGTGCCCTGCGGGG